TTTTTTTTGTTAAAATATTACATTTTTTAAATTAAAAAGGGGGGACAACCTGACTTTTCTTTCTTTTTTTTAATATTATTGTATCATTAATTAGCTTTATTAATTTTTTTGAGAAAAAGAGTCACACCCTTATATTGATTTAGTGTATTTAAATAAAAATATTTAATTTTAAACTTGCCTGTAAAACACGCTTTCTTTAAATTTAGAGAGTTAATGCAATTGAAAGTGACTCTATATCATTCTCATTTGTAATTTACTAAATTTTCGTCATTGCATCCAATTATTTTATTAATTGAAACCTTGACCTCCATGCCCTGCGCCATAAAATTCTCTGATATACGTAAAGTTTGAATCATGATCTTTGACTCTAAGAATACGAAGAAAAATGGATAAAAGAGAGGGTAGAACTTGGGTTGGGAGAGTGGGCGGATTTTTCCATGCCTTGGAGCAATTTCCACGTTTCTTCCCTTTCTTCTTTTTTCTTTTTTTTAGGTAGAAATTTCCATGTGTTTTTTTTTTTTTATCTTGATTATGTAATGAGAAACAATCATTTTTCATTTTTTATCTTATTTCATTTATATGTTATTTAATTCGAACTTAGAATATCTTATTTTTAACGAAAAAAAATAATCAATGAATTATTTAGATCGTTACAAATTTTCATGTGTCTTGGATTAATGGATACTGTTTTTTTTTTCTTTGGTTTGTTACTATTATTAAAAGCCTAGGCAAGGTGAGATGTAATTTTAGATCTAAGCACACATATTTTTAAAGTAAAGATTGTCATTAGCATAAAAGATATTCATATTTTCATGTCATGAGTTTGAACCTGTTTCTTCTTTTCACCTTTTTCTTTATAGGCCAGAGCCAGTTACATCAATACATTAAAATATCTATAAAGATTTATGTTTATTTGTCTTTTAACTTTTAAAAATTAAGAAAAAAATTTATTTTAAAATTAAGTTATTTTAATAAAATATTATAAAAAATAAATAATATAATTTTATGATAATTTTTCTTTAAATTAAAAGATAAAGTAGATTGAAACTATATATATATGTATATATGTCCAAAGTAGACAAAGGCATAAATACCATCATTTGGTAGGATTTCACGTGCACCGTCAGGAGAGGATGCCCGATCCAACGGCTTTAAAGCCATGATTAAATTCAGGATTTGGTGGACAGTCTAAGGGAATGAACTTGCCCTGCTTCCATCCCTGTTTTAGGCATGTTTTCTGTGATTACAACTTGAAAGGATGAAAGGCAATGCAGAGACCAAACCAGAAATGAAGTTTCATGTGATTGGACCCGCAGCGTTTTTCACAATTTCTTTGGACGCTTCTCACTTGACAGGGGACTTGCACCTGAAATCATAAAGTTTCTTTTCCAGCCAATCAAACAGTGGAATATATCAAATATATATAT